ATGGATAGCCGATAACCAAAGTTAAAACAACGAATCTCCAAGTTTGGGGCGTTTCAGGGTGGTTTTAACCCCCTTCTCGACTAGGAAACAAAAATATTTAAAAAATTATGAAAGTCAAAATACCTAGACCCCCATTTCTCGATAACCAAAAGTGCACTGGAAAAAAACACATTGGATCTAGAGTCCAGACCCTTGAGAACATTGACAAGAGAAAATACTCTTGATTCAATCAGATTTAAGCTTAAATCAAAAGGAAATCCGCTCAAAGGAAGAGGCTTGGTTCTTGATTTAAGCTTAAATCTAATTGAATCAAGAGTATTTTTTCTTGTCGATGTTTTTAAGATTCTGGACTCTACATCCAATGTGTTTTTTTTTTCAGTGTGAGGTTATCACCGAGGATAACCTCACTTCATGTAATCACAAAATGGGGGTCTAAGTATTTTAATTTTTATAATTTTTTAATTTTTTTTTAGCTACAATCTCCTTGCAAGTAATGTTTTTTTCCTTTTTTTTGCCTCATCGTGGGGCTACAATCCATGCTCATGCTCGATCCAAAAACCATGTATCTGAGAACGGCAACGCTGGTGTAGTTGTTTGATAGTGGTCGGAAGGAGCAATTCTAGTGCTTTCCTAACTGCGCGTGGTCTTTCGGAAACAAGAATACATTCTTTCGATTCGAGTGCTTCTCCAGCCAAATATTTATTCTCCGTCTCCGATGAAAGTCCCCGCACAAGTTCCTGGCTTCCTTCTTCCATTTTTGTCTCCGACCCTTGAATTGAATTTTTTCCATCAAAGGAAAGTTGATGAACCCGAACTGAAGGCAACTAAAATTGGCGGTTAGTTACATCATGTGCTTTCATCTGTGGGAGTAAATTTTGGGCTGGTCACTACCTATGTTTGATCTGGTTCTGAACCTGATTTAAAATTGATTCTACTTAAAATTCACATGATGTAACTAACTTTTAACTTCTCTCAATTTGAGTCGAGTCACACGCAAACCAATGAAATTGTCAATTAACTGAAAGTATGAAGTATTCAGGAAAAATTGTAGCAGAAATGCTACTAAATGTCAGCAAATTGCTCGGACTTTTAGATTTAATATCCATGGATTCTAAATTTTTACCGTCTAGTATTTCGCATAAAATGTTGTTTACAGCATGTAAAAATGTTCTAGCACTTGTTTAACATTAAATGTGGTTTCGCCTTGTTTATTTGTTTCTTTTTTTTTGTGGAAAAAAGTATTTGTTGTGTGCCTTTGCAAGCTCTTCAAGTTTATGTATACATTAGTCGTGACCTTTGTGGAATTTTCGTAAACATTTTCCGTAGATATATGTAGGCTAACGTTAGGTTTTCATCAAACGAGGTATTTACGGTCGCCAAATTATGCAAAAATAAAATTTCAGTGAAAATTGCACGTGAAACTTAAATTACTCTCATCAAATAAAGCATATTCAGTTACCGAATTGTGCAGCAAGAAAATGAAGCGCTGGCAAGAAGGGGTATTTCTTGCTTGCGATATCGTAAGATTTTATCGTCGTTAACGTCGTTAACGTTTTATCCAATAATTAAAGCAAATACACAGAATTCGTTAAAACTTTTACCGATTTTTTTTCATGTTTTTACAATGCTGAAAACTGAAAATTTCAGAAAATTCACCCAATTATAGTTTTCTCTCGAAAATCAACCAAGAAATTCCCTCTCTGCACCCAACTCCTCAAATTTCCGTGAAGTTGCATGCATGACTGAAACCGCCTTTCGCGAAAGTGAAGGGCCCCGTCTGTGTCAAATATTTTTTACATTGGAAACCCCCACATCTTGAACCTTATCGTAGGTATATGTGACCCGGTTTTGCTCGTGTCATAGTTGCTGATTTCTCACGGCAACCATTACAAGACGAGCATAACTCCAAATGTAAATACCGGTCAACGGCTCAACGCTTCCCACTTGCGGTCAGTTCACCGGCCATCGCTCCGAATGACGAGGAAAAAAATGTGCAAAAACTCCTCTCAGCAGGGCAACCGGCACCACGCACCTCGAAGTGCAGCGGGCTAAGGAAGAACGCCGTATGAGCCATCAGACGTTGCCAAACATCTGAAAGTAGAATACCAATTTTCGAAGAAACTTGCGGATTTTTCACACCCATTTTTTCAGGGGATTGAATTCCTAATTTCTTTTACGGTATCCAAAAATTTCAAGGACAAATATTCATGTATTTCCTCAAAAAAAAAAAAAAAAAAAAAAAAAAAAACGTTTTACAGAGCACTGGTAAAAAAAACACATTGGACCTAGAGTCCAGACTCTTAAAAACATTGAAAAGAAAAAGGACTCTTGATTCAATCAGATTTAAGCTTAAATCAAAAGGAAATCCGCTCAAATTAAGAGGCTTGGTTCTTGATTTAAGCTTAAATCTGATTGAATCAAGAGTATTTTTTCTTGTCGGTGTTTTTAAGAGTCTGGACTCTAGATCCAATTTCTTTTTTTTTTCCAGTGGGGGATTTAATTTGTAATTTTTTTTTACGGTATCCAAAAATTTCAAGGACAAATATTCATGTATTTCCTCAACAAAAAAATGTTTTATGGAGGAAAATTTGGCAATATACAGGTGTTCATACGGCGTTTTTCCTAGCACGGCAGAGTGTAAATTCTTTATTGCTTAACGAGCGCTAAATGTCCGTGTTCACGCGTTTTGTCGGTCATTTGAAGCCATGATGCAGCACTTCAATTCTGATGTGTCTCGATAGAGAGAGCTCTCATAACTTAGGTTATGTCAGATGCAGGTAGGATTTAAATGCCGCCGCAAAACCTGCAGACAGGATTGTTGTTATGAGCCCGTATTTTCTTGCGCGATTAATGTGCGTTTTGGTGAGAATCGATTTACGACTTCCTCGAAATCCTGGCGAAAGTTGGAGTCGCGCAAAAAATTGAAGTTACAATAAATCGTAAAATAAAAAAAGCGAAAAGGAGTCCTTTGTAATCAGCTGGACGAAGGAACATTATGAAATACTGCCGTGCTAAGGAAGAACGCCGTATGAACATTTGAGAGTTGCCAAATTTCCTTGGATAAAATGTTTATTTTTGAGGAAAATTGTGAATAATTTGCCTTGAAATTTTCAGGAACTTTAGGTGAAATTACGAGCAAAATTATCTGCAAAATTGGAAGAAAAATATTCATAATTTTACCATGGGATTCTTGTTTTATCAAAGGAAATTTGGCAACGCCTGAAGGTTCATACGGCGTTTTTCCTCAGCACGGCAGAATGCAAGGGTCACAGGCTCAGAATTACCTCTAATCATTGTTAGTTTGCACTCAGTAAGACAGTTTTTGAAGAATCCTCTTAAGTGTACGATTAAATTTTAGTTAATTTAGGGTTCCCAAGAATCGAAACTAAAGTTAAACTTTCGTGCAAAGTAAGTCATAAGATCTCTACATTTTTTGTTTTTTCATTTTTCTTACAAGTACACACTGGAAAAAAACACATTGGATCTAGAGTCCAGACTCTTGAAAACATTGACAACAAAAATACTCTTGATCCAATCAGATTTTTGCTTAAATCAAAATGAAATCCGCTCAAACTAAGAGGCTTGGTTCTTGATTTAAGCAAAAATCCGATTGAATCAAGAGTATTTTTTTCTGGTCGATGTTTTAAAGAGTCTGGACTCTAGATCCAATGTGGTTTTTTTTCCAGTGCAATAATTGAAAGGGAAAAAATCCCGCCATTTTCTCCACAAGAGTAAAATTGCAGAAAAGTTTTGCATATTTTTCCTAAAATATTTTATTTCACGAAGGTTTATTTTCCCCTTGAATTTTTAGTAATGTCTCGAAGTTGCACTTCTTTTTGGACTCATATTTGCTGTGCAAGAATCCCATAAGCCATGGCATGAATAACATGCCAAAAACTTTCCGTGAATTCACAACAGTTTCGATATTGACCGAGAGACTTAAACGCACGGGTAGAAATGTCGGAGACCATAATGAGATAAAAAGTTCGGGCGCAGGGAGTGAACTTCGCCTCATATTAAACACCGAACTTTTCAGTTCAGTGGGATGTTTATTGAAATCTATAGACAGTGCAATAGACAAATGAGATAAAGAGAGAATGGAGCAATCCTACTGGTTGAAACGCGGGTGGTGTCTTAGACTAAGGGAAAAAATGATGACAAACTATAGAGTCCATCGTAGGTTGTTGTTACTTTGTCTACTTGTTACTTCTTTCATCCATTGCAACCTTTTTTCTTTAACCTATAGGTCGCTGCATTCTACATTTGTCCCTTTTGTCTACCACTTTGTCTATCATTTTCAATAATCAGTCCGCAGGCCCAAAGCAAGATTTTGGGTTTTTATATTTGCAGAATACGCTGCAGGCAATGGAGCGGTCCGGTGGTTTTCCCCTAATTTCTCGAATCGATGAAAATGTAGCTATGGTTCTTTGGGCCCTAACTTTAAATCGATGTCCAAAGTACGAAACCACGTATCTCCGTTTGCGATGTTGCAGACTTCCTTTCAAACTATAATTTTTTTTGGAAAACTAGTCAACGTAATTTCTTGAAAACTTCCTTGATGTTTATTCTCTGTCAGCAGAATTTTGTAAAAATTTCAAGCCATAGCATGGCTTGTTTTTTTATGGAAATAATACTACCGTGCCAATTAAAACCGCTTTATAAGTATGCGAATGTTGCATGATTTCCTCTCAGAAAATACTACATTTTGAAAAAGGTTATGATTGATTTTCCTTGAATTTTTTAGAATTTTATAATCAAATTACGAACAAAATCCTCTGAATAATCAGAGAAGAAATATTCACAAATTTTCCTGATAGTTTCCGATTTGTCTCAGGCATTTTGGCAACGCCTGATGTCTCATACGACGTTCTTTCCTTAGCACGACAGAATACGACCTTATACGAGTGGAAATTTTGAAACATCGCAACGGAGACATGTGGTTTCGGTCTTTATGGATCAAAATACCACTTCATGCAAAAATGACGCAACTCCCAGCTTACCTCAACGACGAGAGAGCAGCATCAAAATCCTAATCGCACATCCACTGCACTTCGAGTAACACCCGGAAACACTCGGGGTTATCGATTGACACACTTTCGGAACCGATCACTGAAAACACTCCGATCCGGACACTCCCTTTAGGTGACTTCCACTCCGCGAAACATCGTAAACGAGGAAAGCTTCTCGTGAAAAAGCTCGCGAGGGACTTTCGCGAAAATAGCACGCGCGAGAGAGGTTTTAGCGAAGCGACGCTCGTGGGCTCAGGCGAGTTACGAAGGAGCGACTAGCGCGCGGTTCCTAACCTGAAAGCATATATACAACGCTATTTTCTGTCCGAGCTGCTCGCCGCTTGCCTCATACTTTTAATTTCTCTCTTTCTCTCAGCGTCGCGCCGGGTCGCTCCATCCTCCTCGCGCACGCTTTTGATTCGTCCTGATTGGCCCGCCGTGGCGGGGGGAGGGCTGGGTTGGTGAACGGTCATCCTTTAATGAGCGTGATTTGCGCGTATTAAGAGTCTTATTAAAGGAAATGGGATTCATGAAGATGAAATGTACCAACACTCATTTTGTGCGGGATTTTTTCTCAGTTTTTTCTTCTTCTTTATTAAGTGGAGCTTTTGGTCTATATTGACCGAGGGTTCAAATGGAGAATTTGCACGACAACTTTTTTATCGCCTCATATGTGGGTGTTTGATGAGCTGATTTCGAAGTATTTTTTTTACAATGTATTCCTGATAAAGGAAATTTTCGTAGATTTAAAAGTGAGAAAGTGTACCGACCAGCGACGTCATCTGGCGGCATTTACCTTTTAATCATATGCATTTTAGCAAATTGAGTCATTTGGTCGTATCTCCTCTCATGATAATTCAATTTATAACCAAGGGTATCCTTTTGTTCTGTTTTCTCAGCAGTTTCCATTTTAATACGAAAATTATCAAATATCAGACGTATTCAATTCCTCCATTCGCTCTAAGGTACCGCCCAACAGGAGGAGTGCCAAATCCCCTTGTATTGTCCCATGAAATCTTTTTCGATTTGAGGGTGGTGTTCTCGAGGGTTTTAATAAATATTTTTTTTTATGGGAGATTTTCCCGTAATTTGACTTCTTCACCCCTGTGTCGCAGCGGAGGAGGTGTACTAGTAATCAGATAATTGATATTTCCCCATTGAAGCCGTGGTAAAGAATCGATTATTAAGGTGTTCGTAGCGAACACCCTGTTTATCGATCTTTTTACATAGATTTCAGTGGCAGATTAATCGATATATAACAAAGCTCACCACGCCTCTGCCTTGAAGAATTAAACAACCCTGCGTGGTGCAGACTCATGACGTCATCTTAATCAAACACAGACTGGTGCTATTTAATTAGTTTACTTTGCTACTTTTTCGTTAAAGTCTCCAAGATGATTGCATCCACGTTGTAATACAACCATTGAAAATGTTGCCTCAGATTTACGATCCATGAACATCCCTGCATAATGCAGACTTATGACGTCACCTTGGCCCATCACGGACTGGTGGTTTTTAATTCGCTTATACTTACCTACACTTTCATTAAAGTCTCCAAGTTCATGCAAGCCACACAAATCGAGGCTCCTCAGCCGTCGATATTCAAATCGATTCCCCGCGAGACGTTTACCGATATCTGCTTTCCCTGTTGCCGGTACTGATTCTTCCAAGGGAGACATCTAATGTAGAAAGCTACAATTAACCCGAGTGCCACTCCAGTATCCGAGTGACGTAATTCAGGCTACGCGATGAAGTCATTTGGTCGGAGCATCAATTTCATTGACGCATTCCGCGTTTGGACTATTGAAAAGAGTTTGATTGGTGTAATTTTCACCGGGTCGGGTCTAGGTCAGACGCTCCACACACGACGACCTAGAAAGGCCACGGTCCCTCCGAAGACAATAGGGCGTCGCGTTTGACCCACATTGTTGCCTGTTTATGAGTCCAGAGGAAACTTCTCGGAGTGATTCGTTTGAATCCGAGTTTCTGCTTTTTGTGCACGGGCTGTTGGAAAAGAAGCCCTCAAAATAGCATCATAAAAAGGACAATTTTTGCCGACCTCAAAAAAACGATTTTTTCCCTTAAGAAGCCCTATTGTGTTTAGGTAGGTACACTGTGATAAAAGGATGTTTAAAGAAGCTCAAAATAGCATCGTAGAAGGGGCACTTTTTGCCAATCTCGAGAATAAAACTTTATTCCTTAAGAGACCCCACTTTCTTCACATTTTACTCTGGGGAGGTTTAAAGAAGCTCTCCAAATATCATTATAAACAGACAATTTTTGTCAATCTCTAGTAAAATTCAGCAACATACCTAACCCTGCAATGGATCCTTGCAAGGGACTGCAATGATTTGCTATTGCAAAAAAAAAAAATATATATATATTGCGAGTTTTGTAAATGAGGTAGGCTCACACCTCGAGACGTTTTCAAAATCATAGAATTTTTCCTTCCGTATTTTTTACTTTTCGCAAAGGCAAATAATTATGTTTTCTTGGAAAAATCCAATTACAGCGTATTACTGCTGAATTTTTCTTAAGGTTTGGAAAATGTGTCCTTTTTATAGTGCTATTTTGAGAGCTTATTTAAACCCTCCTTATCTAAACCAAATGTTGTTTCCTTAGAAAAGGAGCTGTTAAAAGGATAATTAATTGTGATTACGACACTCAGAGTTCTTAATCATTCTTTTCCACAACGTGACAACACTGCCTATGCAGCTATCTATCTCAATTAGACCAATTGAATATGGAAGGAACAATGAACGTGACGACAAAGAAAGTACGAAGGAGTGATCGATTCCAGAAACAGTGCTCAAATTTATGCATCATCTTCCCACTCACGTCACCAGTGGCGAGGCGTGAACGATCGATCATTGATCTTTCCCCCGTTTGAAGCTGTGGTAAAGGATCGATTATTAAGATGTTCATTGCAAACACTCTGTTCGTCGATCCTTTTCCACAGGTTTAAATAGCAGAAAAATCGACCTATCGCAAAGCACGCCACGCTACTGCATTTGACCTCTCGTTTACTCGGATGGGATCCGAGTAGATCCGAACCGACGAGAGACCCATTAGTTATTCCATCATATTTGCTCTTAGTCTATAAGAACCACACATTTCAACCAAAAGGACTGCTCCATACTCCTTGCATCTTCTAGGTCTAAAGCTTTGTCTATCAATTTCAACAATCAGCCCGCTGATAAACTCGGTCCAAATGATCGATTATCGATATTTCCCCATTTGAAGCCGTGGTAAAGGATCGATTATTAATATGTTCATTGAGAACACTCTATTCATCGATCCTTTTCCATAGGTTGTAATGGCAGAACAATCGACATATCGCAAAGCACGCCACGCCGTTGCATCTAACCTCTCGCCTGCAAGCTCAAAATATGAAATATCGCTTTTGGACAATCGAATAAAGCTTCCTTGATCATTTAAGCTCTACACTCTTGCATGAATGAAACATACTACACCTTCTTTAATATAACTCCACCTGTGTCTGAACTGGAGTATCTGAATCATGCTTTCCACGCTGTAATCAATCCTGCTTATATTAGTGAGCTATCGATCGCTTTACGGCCTAATTATAGACCGCTGAATTTGGAACGCCCAGTAAAGTTATAGATCAATCTCCTACGTTGCCTTTCTGTTTTTAAAATTTTTTATCCACTCACCGTAGATAAGGTTTTTCCCTGTATCAAGTCTACATTTCTCGTTCGTCTTGCACCACTGCATGTCGTTTTTGTTGCTGAGTTGCCTTTCATAATGGCTCAATCAAATAACTCGGTTAAACCCCTAATTTACTCAACAAGGCAGTGATAAATGCAAGTGTAGCTACTCAATTCTAATGGAAAACTTTACTAGATGCACGCGAAGTCGAAGACCTTTCATAAATGGGCGGAACTACGCAAACTATAATCCCGGTATCCGATATAGCCCGGTACACAATACTCCTATTTTTGTGTCCTGGCGTTTAAGTCTCCAAAGCATTTTATAAGTTCTTGCACACTTTCTTTACGTCCAGAATGTTAAATCAACTTCACCTTCTTTTTCAGTGCTTGTCTTACTAGGTGCTAAGCGCTCACCTGTGCCTTAAGTAGTATCGCTTTTGAAGCGAGAAACTTAAAAAAAAAAAAAAAAAAAAAAAAAAAAAAAAAAAAAACTTATATTTCTCACGCAGATTGTGAAGTTGGGAGTGTATTTCAGACCTTCTCGATGCACTCATCATGATTTTTGAGCCAGTTTCAACGAGGATCTCTTCTTTTGGCTCTAGCTACGGGAAACCTAAATGTCCTCCACCAAGATTCATTGCCAGCCCCTTAAACCAGGTTTCCCGCGAGGCCTTCCGCGATTAGGCGCCGGGAAGACCTTCCAAGGTGGCTTAATTATTTTATCAGCGGGCCCATAAAAGCGGCGGCTTTCTCTTTCAGGCGCCGGGCGCGCGGGGCCATCCAACCCGCTCCTGAGAATCAGAGAGGAATTAGGAGCAATGATCCGTCCTCCCCCTACCCTCCCCCCTCCACCTGATCCGAATTGAAAGCCCACGCGATGCGGTCGAAATTGACGCCTCAACGGGCATGGAAGTCACGTCCGTCTTTTTGGAGCGGTTACTTAATCCGGCTCGTGCGAATCGCGCTTCCACCCCCCACCCCCACCGGTGCTCCGCGGTAAGAACTTGATTCCGCGGTGATTAGCAGGAGGATTACCGGTCAGGGTGGTGGACGTATGCGGCTGATTTTTACCATCGGTTTACCCTTTTTAAAATACAGTAGACTCTGGATTATCCGGATTAATTGGTGCCGGGCCCGATCCGGATGAAAAAGAAATCCGGATAATAATAGTAAACACAAACACCACCAACCAACACCAAAGTATTCTTATTATGTATACATCATGTGCATACCAACACGAATTTAAAAGGTTAACGCCAAACTGAACGACTCAATGGTGATTGTGAATGGTAGCCGACAACGATAAATTACAATACAACGATTAAAGCGCGCAATGCGTGAAGTATTCATGCAGCCTTGTAGCCGCTGATGTGCGTTTTAGGCTAACTAATCGACTGCACTGCGTTTGGCGTAATGCGAGAAGTATTTATGCAATCTAGTAGGCGCTATCGCGTTCCACGCCGACCTCACTGTTTGGCGCAATGCGTGATGTATTTCTTCAGCCTTGCAGGCGCCAATATGCCTTGCGACCGCTTCTCCGCGGATCCGCTCACTTATCGGAATGCGTACGTGGTTACATGGTTG